CCCCCCCCCCCCCCCCCCCCCCCCCCCCCCCCCCCCCCCCCCCCCCCCATGCTTTTCATATGTATGTATATTTGCAGACATGTTTACGTAGAGATGCGCACGAACATAGATATATGTATATAAACATACATGAATGCACGCAAAGGCTAAGTGCATGTATACATGAAGCAGATGAATGTTGTCGCGGATATCCGCCTACTGTAATTGTAGGAACAAGAGAGACTCGTGGTGAGCAAGGCACCGGGGGCCAGCTGCAGCACCCGGTGAGCACGACCGATGGATTGATGGAGACGTGGCACGGCCGTCCCCTGCCCACAAGAAGTCGTTATCATCACGAACTTACCTGGTAAACGTGAGCAGGAACACAGCGCAGTGGTTCGGCGTCCACAGCTCGTCGCCAACGAGGAATCGCAGGACAGGAGAGGAGCCGATGCGATTGCTCAGTTGATGGCCCGGTGCTGCATCCATAGCAGATGACCACGCGCACCACACACGGCCTCGAGTCGCCGCCAACAGCCGGCTGCGGCCGCTGCTGCTCCGCTGTGCTACTGAATCCACGGGGAGCCCCTACCCGCACGCCCAGAACTACTTCAATAGGGCAGTAGCACATTCGCTCCAGCAAGATCCTGTAATGCACTGCATGTGACAACACTTCTGTTTAGACAGTCTCGACCCTCAGACCACCGGTCTTAGTCGGCAGTGCTTTGATCATGTGCTACCAAGACTGGCAGCCATCCCGCCACGAATCCCGACTGGTTTTGATTCATAAGTAGCCGTGCTGAGCTTAAACTGAGGTCCAAGGTCAGGCCACTGATGTAATAACCAGGCTTCTCACCTTGTATGAATTGATAAATTGAATAACCAAAATTCCAGACTCACCGCTTGCTCATTTCTGGAGTCATAACAATAAGTTGAGATCTGGGCCTCAGGTCATTGCGATTAAAATATCTATCCCAGATTTTGCATTGTCAAACTTCCAATAAAGTGAGCTCAAAAATTTCTAAATTAATGGCTGTAACAACAGAGCAGTAATGCCTCAGTTCCGATCATTTTACAGCGAAAAATGCATTACTGCGGTCAGCCGCAGTGATTAAGCGCAAAATTTGGTGCCACGAGCCGGTTCATTCCCGGCTCGTGGCACCAGATTTTGTGGTGAAATTTTCTTGAAAGCTTATCTTTCCTATGTTGCTGATGGACTTGTGGAGCTTTCTAACACTCCATTGATCTTCCTTCTCTTTCAATTGATAAATTTCATGCAAAACCCATTTTGGCATTTTCCCCTCAATCAAAATTTCTAGTTGAGGGTGTTCAATCTGTTCTCCAAATGACGCAAGTTGACGCAAAATTTGCTCCGGATCTTCAACCGTTTGGCTCAAGCACTGGGCAGCGTTCACAACTCGAAATGTAGATATAATAGCTCCCTTTTCTCCGTACTTGTGCTTCAATGATTCAACAATAACGGAGTAATTCTCTGGAGTGATCGCGAACTCTGCCACTGCATTCTCCGCTTTCCCAGTGAGGCAGCTGATTAAATAGGCCAGCTTCTATATGTTAGGAATATCCTGGGAATGCACTGAAGCCTCAGAACTGACCCAAAAATTTGGTCAGTCTAATATATCTCCAGAAAATTTCAAAAGTTCGAGTCGTGGTAGTTTCGCATAGCGAGATTCTCTCGATAATTCTTCTGGTCTAGTCGACTGTGCATCTGTCACATTTTCATTCTCTTTTTCCAACTGCTGAAGAATTCTTTTGTGGTGAAATTTTTTTGGAAGCTTATCTTTCCTATGTTATAGTAGGAAAAGAGAGAAATCAGTAACTTCTCACCACAGACTACAAGAGGATCAAACCTCTCAATCTCACCGGTTTTCTTTTTAATAATCTTTATCGAAACAACTGAAATACACAGACTTTCACCTCCTTTTATTCGGCTCCCAACAAATAGCTCGAAACAAGGCTTCAGTGCAAGCCCAACAAATTTTCGAATCGACAAGAGACTATACCCGCGAGACGAAGCGTTCTCCAACCACAAATTTCTCCACACAAACTCCCATCAAACAATTCGAAATCCACAACTCCACTAAACTCCACACAACTAACAGACTAAAAAGGAGAGGAGCGAGGCCTTTTATGCTGAGAATTTAGTCTCCATCTCTAACTAGAAATAATGGCGTGGTTGGCGGGAGGTCAACCCACGGCAATTCTCAATAACAGCTAAGCGAGGGAACTTACAACCTTGGTATAGTAAAATTGCAATCATAAAGAACCATAAAAAACTGCGCAATAATAAAAGATCACTGATTATTTACAACTGCTGCATTTTCCTTCGCATATTATTTTGGGCATACCCTCTTCTTTCTTTCGTGAATAATTATTCACGACACCCTGCTCCCCTCGGCCTCCCAATTAAATTTAACCCTGTTTTTTCAACTTGCTGGATTTCGTTGTATTGTTGTTTTCTTTCCAGCAGCCTTTTGCTCAATCAATTTTGCCAGCACAGCAAAGAGAACTGTTTCTTCCCCATCCACTGACTCAACTTCTTATTACCACCGTAACACCAGAATCTAAGAACTCATGCATGCGTGCTTTTTTATGCGTTTTTGCTGTGTAGTGCTATAGTGCTGCTACAGTGTTTTTGCACTAAACTCGCTGATCGCTATTAGCAGGAATGATCCCTACGCTGTAGCCTAACGCTTGGGCTAATATTGACCATGCTTTGATCCTTTCCGGCATGCAGGAGAAAGGGCGTCAATTAGGATGAAGGTGGTGCATTATAGAGCCACACGGACATACAGGTGCATGATTACCTTTTTTTTGCATGAAGTCCTGTCGTTTTTCGATAAATGCTCACTTTGTGAAAAAATGACAAATGCAAATTTTTTGAAAAAATACAAATTTCGAGTTTACTAAAGAGTGGAAGTATTGCTCGAGCGGTCGTTTGTCAAAAAATCCACGTTCATTTACATATACGGTTGCGGTTAAGCTCCGGACTGCGAACGATTTTTTTGAAAATATGCAAATTTTTACTTCACTAAAAATTGAAAGTATTGCCCGAACGGTCGTTTGCAAATAATCCGTGTTCATTTACACATACGATTGCGGTTCAGGTCCGAGTTGCCGACGATTTTTGGGTTGAGAAGCTACTTGAGGCTGTGGTTGGGGAGCTCAAGAGCTGAGTTTAAAATTTTTATCTTGCAAGTGCACAGAGAATATCCGTGCAAAGTTTCAGCTTTCTACGTTGCCTGGTTCGCAAAATCGCTTCCCGCCAACATATTTCTTTGGGGGACCCGTACGCGGAGTCTAGGCGCGCATGGGAAAAGGTTTTAAAACGGGAGGATGACACACTGGGTAGGAACATATATCCTAAGCTTCATTCTCCCAGCTCTTCTGGTTGCTGAGATGAAAGTGGGTGACAAAATGCACTCGCTTTCCGAACACACACACAGGCAGCCTCTCGACAATATGCGTTTTTGCTGGCTGTACAGCAAAAACGCATAAAAAGGCATATCGTTGAGGAGTCACTCGTGTTTGTGCATGTTTGTGTATTCGGAACCTATGGATAAAGGCCACAAAAAAGAGGAAAAAATTGGACCCTTATAAGTGGAAACTGTCCCATAAAAACCAGTTGTCATTAGGGGACTTCCCTATATATGGAGCTGATGCTTAGGTGAAAGCGAATAAGATCCACTGTAGAGTATGAACTGAGTAAAAAATCGTTGGCGACGCGCACCGGGCGGGCCCGTGCGATCACGCGTTTTTACAGTATTTCATGCTGTAATGAGATCGCTTAGAAACCTACTAGCTAGAATGTGTGAAATGAAGCTCGGGAAGTTAATTATTACGCGGTACTTGGGCAGGGTACATTTCATTGAAATTTCAGCTTTTCAGCTCCCCTAGCTCCCGAGTTAGCCATCCTCCCTCCAAAAATTTCCACGGCGCCGCACGTGGGAATCGTGCACAGGGAGCGACTGAATTTAGTAACTTTAAATTGTAAATGTGCTGGGAAGATTCCCCAAAAATTTCAGCTTCCTAACTTTCCTGATTCCCGAGTTCCAGAAAATTTCACGGGACCGTACGTGAGAACCACGCATGCCTGGAGGCTGAATTTAAAATCTTTGAGTTCTATGTGGAAGGGGAACATAACTGCAAAGTTTCAGCCTTCTGGCTTTTCTGGTTCCCGAGTTAGCGATTTTCCCGCTAAAACCTTGAGACGCTCGTATGCGGGGCCTGGACGCGCGTGAGGCTCGGTACCGTGGGGAACCCTATGACAAAATTTTCGCGCCAAGGCCTGCTTGGCTGTCGAGTTGAAATACCCGGACAAACGCACACACACACGGGGTCATTACAATATGCGTTTCTGAATTTGCACATATGCAAAAACTCACAGGTATATGATGCTGATTTCTGAGTTCAAATAACCCAGGCTGGAGCGCACCGGGTGGGCCCGTGTTATCATGCGTTTTTACACCGGACTTGAATTACTCAGGTCATTAACTGTATGAATGGCTTTTGCTTACATCTATCTTTTGCGGTTACTAGCATAAATCACCATAAATTTTGCAAAGTAAATGTATAATTTTCATTTAACGGTCGTAGTATGCGTTTTTTTGGCAAATTGCAAAAACGCATATTGGGAAGAGGCTGTGTGTGTGTGTGTGTGTGTGTGTGTGTGTGTGCGTGTGTGTCTGTGTGTTCGCACTTTTTGTCACCCACTTTCAACTCGAGACCCAAGAAAGCCAGAAGGCTGAAACTTTGGGGATATGTGCCCATACCATGCGCGACCCTCCCGTTTTAATT